TTCAAGCTGAAAATCACTTCATGGGAGCCCCCAAACAAAAAACTCTCTATTTTTAGAATTGAAATAATTTGTTTACTTTGTAATCCGATTTTTATAGAAAATATATCAAAATTTATGATCTGTTATTATCTTGGGAAAAGGAGAAAATAAGGACACGTACTAACAAAAAAAGGTCAAATAAGGCCTTATTTATGAAGCTCTGGCCGGCCTTCGCCATTTGGGGTGGTTTTCGGTGGAATTTTTTTATGATTGTTTTTGACCATTTTATTCATTAAGTCTAGTTTATTCATACCAAATTTCAGCTAACAATTCAATCGGGAAGGCATTAAAATGAATTCTTGAAGATAACTGCGCAGTTATCTTCAAAAATTCATTTGAATGCCTTCCCGGTTGACGTTTTAGCTGAAATTTGGTATGAGTAAACTAGAGTTACTGAATAAGATGCTCAAAAAAATTCATCAAAAAATTTCTCCGGAAACCACCCCAAATGGCGATGGCCGGCCAGAGCCTCATAAACAAGGCCTTATTTGACCTTTTTTGGTTAGTATGTGGCCTTATTTGCCTCTTTTCTCTATTATCTTTGATACGACACCAATATTGTATATGTACAAATAAATTAATTTTTAACATGTTGCAATAAGGGGATATTTTATTTATTGGTTGAAAGTTCCAATAAGGGACATTAAGTTCTAAAATAATTTAAAACCAACTCAAATAGAATCAACAAAAATGCTCAGTTAATGGCTCTGTCTCTTAAAAATCAAAAAACACAAAGGATGCTACAAAAAAAAGATTTGTTATAACTTATTTTATTTATAATAAGGATTTACAAAAAAAATGTATCAAATTTCGTAAATTATTATATCTTTCGTATGACACGAATATGGCATATATAAAAATAAAAATCAAAATATATAGTTGATAGATGGAGGTTCTTAGGCTCCAAATCTTTCTTAAGTGGATTCAATTTCTATAATTTAGTGGATCATAAGCGTTTTCTATTGTGATTTAAAAAAAAAAAAGCGTTTTCTATTGACACTTTCAGGAAATAAATAAAATGCATCCATCAATCGTATGTTTGGATTTATTTTAGACTTATATATACAATATTGGTGTCATATGAAAGATAATTATAATTATGAATTTCAGTACATTTTTTGTAAAAATTAAATTAAAAATATTAAAAGTTATAGCAATTTATTTTTATTTAATGTTGGGGGTTCTAAACATGCTAGCTTCTACTTTCTCCTAACTTGCTAGCGTTCTTTATGATTTCTAATTTTTAAGAAATTCTTAACTGAGTTGTTTTTGTTAATTCAATTGCATTATCTCTAATGCATAACCTTTTTAAAAATCTATGTGGCATTATGAGGTCGTTCACATTCTTTTAATGAGCATTTTATCAAAAGGTATGTGATAGAGGTAAAAGTTGTCAACTAAGAAGTTGTTCCTTTTGCTTTATCTGCGTGTCGGTGGTATGAGTTTTTTTAATAATATAAAACAGTCAATCTCTTTCATTCAATAACACTTATTTTCCCCAATAAGATCATAATTATAATATACTTAATAATTTTGATGTAAAATAAACTAATCGCTTATGTCGCTTCCCAATGTTCCAATTACCAATTGCCATCATGCAGGCTAATGTTGTTATATCAAAATTTACAAATTATTATTATCTTTTGTATGTATAAAAATAAAAATAAGTCTAATGATACAGTTTATAGAGGGTTTGAGGCTCAAATTTTTCTTAAGTAGATCCAAATTCTATTGACACTTTCGGGCAATAAATAAAAGGCCTTCATCAACTGTATATTTAGTTTTTTTTTTGTATTTTTCTATCTGCAATAATGGTGTCATACGAAATAATATAATAATAAACTGTAAATTTTGATACATTTTTTTTACTAAAAATCATATTATAAATATAAAAAGTTATAACAATTAAAAAAAGGGAAAATTCCCGAAATATGACTAGAAAAGTTTGAAAATTCCAAAATAGGACTGCCATATTTTTATTTACAAAATGGGAGTAAATTCTGCCAAGTTTGAAAAATATTGTCATGTTTACAATATGGTACTGTCAAAATATGGCAGTAGTTAGTCTTATTTTGGGAATAAAAACATGGCAGAACATATTTTAGAATATGCAATATTGGTGTCATATTAAAGATTAAAAAAACCATGAATTTTGAGATATTTTTTATAAAAATCAAAAAGTTATATCAAGTTGGAGATTTCTAAGTTGAGTACAATTCTAATTTCTAATCTAGAATACTTCATATACTCCTAACGTAATAACAAACTCATAACAATTCTAGTTTCTAATTTAGAATATTAAAGGTATGCTTAGGAGATGATGCATGACAAAATTTTCCATAATTGTATCTTTCAAATGCACGGAGTATTATTTATATATATAGATATAGATTTTGTAACAATCAAAGTACAAATAAAAAATACTCCGTATATAACACTTAAAAAAACAGATATGTATTAAGTGCTAAATTATTTTTTTTAATTTTATATATTCAATATTGGTGTCATATGAAAGATAATAAAAAGTTATAAATTATGATATATTTTTTGTAATCATCAGAGTGCAAATAAAAAAGTTATAGCACTTTAAAATAAATGTGGGATTTTATTTTTTGAACTACATAACTCTAGGAAGTTTTCTAAATTCACTTTACATGAGTTCGTATCTATCTTAAACACTAATCTAAATTAACGTAACATGATTATAGTTAATTTACTAAATTAGAAAGAAAATCTAAAATATTATAATGAATGTTTGTTTAGAAGATGACACATGGCAAAAACTTTCCATAATTGTATCTATGAAATGTATAGATTTCTTTCGAGATAAATGATCGAGCAAGATGTGTGTCTAGCTTTATTCCGAACCCGTAATCAGAATACGTTGGGTGACTCTGTCGGCTTATCAGGCTAATCAGATAACTTTTTCATCAAACATATAACTTTTAATATTTTGCGCTGAATTGTGACATATTGTGTAGAGGCCGGGTCATTTTAGATATTTTTCATATAATATTTTCTTTATTTTATTTATAAAATACATTTTAAATACGGAGTATAATTTCTTCATAAATCAGCAATATCAAACAATGCAATCACTTCAGTCAATATAGCCGTTTTGAAAATTACGAAGCGGGCTCTCCATATCATTTTAAATTAAAGATTTTATATAAAGACTGAAAAATGCAAAGTCGTTGATATTTATATAATTTTAAAAGATAAAAATATGAGTATTTTTTTATGCTCAATAAGTTTTGAAAATTGTATACTCGATTGCAGAGTTTCAATGCAAATATTTTACTTATGATTTTCATATCAATGCATATTTCAAATGTATAATACGGAGTATTAAATTAGATTGGCGTAATGAGATTCATTTGAGTTGAATATAGATACTACCCTCATCCCAATTTGATAGTCTCAGTTCCTATTTACTTGGTCAACGCAAATCATTCTTAATCTCTTACTTTATACATCAAATTTTTATCAAATTTGATTCTGATTTTTGTGGCTTTGTAAAGTTTTAATGTAGTTTCTGAAAATGTAATTTTTTATCTAAAAATAATTTGACTGCGGACAAGGATCTGTTTGCTTTATCGTCGGTCAAACATCGTAAACCGCAACGAGACTATCATTTTAGGACGGAGGGAGTATAATTTAAGAAATTTTTATAAAAGAAAAAACAAGGAAAAGAAAGTGAATTAGAAGATAAGAAACAGAGATTACGATACTCAATATTAGACTCTTAATGTTCAATAAAATAGACCATATGCTCAATATAAGAGCACTGATGTTCAATTAATAGAAGTTGCGGTTTTCAACTAATCTACAAAAAGGCCACCCACTCTCTCTATAGTTAAACCGTAAAACCGGTGGTACGGCAAATGAACTCGGAAATGTCTGGGTGTAGAAATTAGAGTAGACTTGCTGAGAGACAGTCCCTGCTATTTATGGAGTATTTTTACGCCACTTTTCCGTTGCAGTGAGACATATTTCTGGCGTACATGTCCCTGCAGCTATTGCGCATATATTGCTGATTTGCTGTAATTGCCCATCAAATTAAAAAACAAAACCAGGAGTGGATTTCAGACGTTCTTCATTCTTCTTTCTTGTCATCCTGTGTTTCGGCCCAAGCTTCATCACCAGGCCACCAGCTCCTCTTCTATTATTATTGAATGAGGTATAGGGTTTGAATCACAATATTTTCCCCTAGCCTCTTCCTTGATAGTTTTTTTTTACTCCAAGGGCGTTTGGGGAGCAGGCTGAGGAAGCGGTTCAGCCCAGCTGATCGCCGACTCATTCTCCCTTACGGGAGATCTCAGGTTCGAAACTCAATAGAGTCAGTATCAGCCCTGATTACTCCAGGCCCCCAGACCCTGTCAGACGCACCCTGGAGTTGAAAGAAAAAAATCTAATTTCCTTCTTGTTTTTGTGTTCTAGATAATCACTATTAGTTACTGATATTTTAATTCCTCTTCTTCATATAAGCTTGGATTTCAAGATTTCCCAAATGTTTAGCCTTTCTCAAGGAAAACGAAAAAAAAAGTGAAGGAGGGTGGTGCATTTGATATACAAACTAAAAATGTTTGTTAATACAAGATGACTGCTTCGATAATAAAAGATCAATATGAGTGCTTTGATAAACGGAGTTTAAATTAAAAGAGGATTCAGTTAATCATAACGTCCATTTTAAGGACAGAGAATTGAAGTAAGATGGTGGTAGACGGTGGTGCATCATCCTCCGTATGTGACTTGGGCGGTAAAATCTTGTGCGTTGGAGGCCCTCTTCCATTGTCAAATGTCCCGTCATCCCACTTTGTAGTGTGTATTAGAAAGTCTTTCTATAGATAGACATCCTCCTCATAGTGTTTAGTTTTTATTTTTCTAAGTCATCAAACTTTGCTTATAATCGTAAAACATTGGAGAATAAAACAATTAGTCCATGTCTACTTTAATGATAAGGCATAATTTATTTAGACTAGAAAGAGTTGCATTCGGAATGCTCTAATTAACCGAGGCACAGAAGTACCCTTGAATTCTTCTTGAAATTACATAAAATGTCTAGAAGCTGAAATATGATGTTCTCCGCAAGCTTTCAAATGTGGGAAATGTACGAAATGTAAGGTGGGCAAGTTTTCAAGCTGCTTAAGTTACCGTACTATGAGGGGTTGTGACTCTATCATGTAGCCACCCAGCAAGAGCTACCGCCAAGAACCCGACCTTTCCACCCCTGTAGTACCCAAAGGCCGTCTTCAATAAAGAGAAAGTCTTTGTGATATGATGCTCGAGCCTTTCTCAATAACTTGTTGACAAGTTGAGAGTTTAAGGGCAAAGGCTTTAACCCTGCCCTCAACATGCGTGATTCCCATTGCTTATACGTTTCAGGCCTATGCAATCTTTCAATGCCCTCACATCCAATGATATTCATTGTTTCACGTCCAAGAAACTCTTGTTCGAAACTCAATCTCTGAGGATGATGGCGGTTGGGTAAAGTAGAGTCACACATATCAAAGATAGCAGAGTAGAAGAAGAGAGTTTCTCGAAAGCGAGGGAGAAAGAAAGGAGAGCTGTGAGATCCACTATGCACTGTTTGCACATATATATCCGGATTCACTTCCCGAATTAAGTTTAAAACTTCATCTTTAGGGTTGTACCCAGCAACTAAAGTCTCGTCCAATAGGTAATCAAATCGAAAGTTACTGTTAATAGCAATCACCTCACCACCACTCACAAGCTTCAAGTCATCAATCTTAATTGCCTCCCAGTGTTGTGATGTTAAGGCATTGAACTCGAATGGTACACCGTAACGCTTACAATATCTTGACAAGCGAACACCTGTCTCCACTAGCATTTGTGAAGGGCGGAAACCAGGTTGGGGGAGCTCAATCCCTGTTATTCGAAGTCTTGGAGGGCCGCCGAGCCTTTGTGAAAGATCCCGAATAAGAGTCGGCCACTGGATCCCATAAAGAATACCAAAATCTATAATGTGCAGGGATGAGCCTCTTGAAGCTGCCTCAAAAATCATTTGATTCGAAAAGAAAGTTGATATTCTCATGATTGGCCAGGATGTCAAGTACGATTTCGGAAACTCAGAAGCTACAATGGTTTTAGGAGATATTGCTTTACATAGTTGTGTCCCAGTTCCAGCCAACCTCGCCTCGAGACTATTTGCAATTAAATGAGCCAACCTTTGATTGGAATTGCCCACCGGCGAAGAGTGTTGCCTGATCTCCTTTAATTGAGCTTGTGCACCCTTATAATCACCATCATGAACAGATTGTGCGCAACTAGTTAGAAGAGACAGCACATCTACAATGTCACAATTATCTTCCCGTTTCTTTGAATGGCGACGACCTCTTCGCCCTTTCTCCCCAACTCCAAATGAATAACCTTTATCATCACTACACAGTAAAACCTTATCAAACATTTGTGATAAATCAACCTCCTCATATACGGCAGACTGTTTGCTTCCCCTCTCTTCTTCTAGCCCACTTTCTTGTGGAAGGTAATAATGCCTCTTTCCTCTATGCGAATGGTCTTTCTCTGTATCAATGACAATGACATCTTTGGTAGCCTCTAAATCATCCATTACCAACTTATTGTGACCGGGAAGGAACCTACTAGCTTCTTCCATGCATCTCTGGAGTTCCAATTTGGACTCAGTATCATCATTCCCGCCAAATACATTTCGAACCGCCGAACTAGCTCTTAGGAAAGACATCATTGCATTGTCAAAGTTGTATGAAGAAGAACCATTTAAGTCATAATTATATGATGATGATGATGTTAACTGGATGGCGAGATTGGGAGGACGCTCGCTTGTCACACATGGTGATTCCGAGTCTCCGGGATCAACAATACCATCAACGTTATCATGCCAGGAGCTTCTTCCAGCACTGCTATCAAATAGTGAGGAAGGATTCTCATGCAATGCTTCATAATAAGAATTCTCAGCAGCTTTAAGAGCAATGAGATCAAAGGGCTCATCAATGCTCTCCTCCTGCTCCTCCAATAGAATCTGGGTAATGTATTTCAGCACGGGATCAGCGTCCGAAGTAGCAGTACAGTCCGGGGCATTGTTTCTCACCCCATTATACATAACCTATGCCCACATATTGGATGGAAGATGGGTAAGCAGACATCAATAGATATAATAATATTTCCAAAATTAATACTGATAATAGTAATATTGGAAATTCACAAGAATAATCCCTACTTTTAGGGATTGTACAATAATAATCACTACTAAAAGTGTTCATAAAAATAACATGAACTAGCAATATTGTCCACAAGAATAAATTGGGATGAATTCAAATTAGTGCCCGTTTCATACTCCCAACCCATATTTCCACTTTCCCTTTCACCACTCTTCGTCTCACTCAACAGTTCCATCTTCCAACCTAGATATAACCACATATGACGGAAATGGCATTGAGATCAAATGAGTTTCAGTGTGAATTCACCCTGAGAAGAAGAGCGGGGGTTAGAAAAGTGCAAGTAAGGGTTAAGATTATTAAACGGACATTAATTTGAATTTATTCCAATTTATTTTTGTGGACATTGATGTTAGTTCGGATTATTTTTATGAATAATCTTAGTAGGGAGTATTATTGTAGAATCTCTAAAATTGTGGATTATTTTCATGAATTTCGCCTAATTTGTTAAAGTTGTTTTTATTATTAGTTTCATAACATTAGTCACTTGCAAGTTTGGTGCTACAACTAATAAATCTTTGCGTTTTAAGGACTTTCCAACAGAAAAGTACACTTTCTGGCTAAAATATACCAGAAAAGTTGCTGCCGGCGTTGGATTTATTGCCAAAAATTGTATTTTCCGGTGAAATAATCTTCAGTTGCAAAGATTTATTAGTTACGGGGTTTTTAGTTTATTCACGTATAATTCGCGTAAATATAATTCATGTATAAGTTTATTGTTTTCTGAGTTTTTTGAAAAATTCGCAAAAAATCGTGTATTTTAAAAATGAAAATTATAATACACGTACAAGACATATTTTTGTGTGTATTCTAAAGAACAAATAAGGTAGAACCCAACTAAAGGCCTAAATTTCCAAAGCCCCGATTGAAGTGTAATGTTATTCGAGTGTACAACACTTCTAAATTTTAAAATCTACTTACTCAATAGGAAAGCACAACTTTCTAATTGAAATTGAATTATAAATTAATTGCTATTGAGTACTGTTGGGATATTAGGTCCAGGCCCAATATCCCTAGGCCCAAATCCGGGAAGAAGCAGCGGGCCCAAGGCAGTCCAAAGAACTCCCGAACGGCATTCGAGATAAAACTTATACTTGGAACATTCCGGGAAACAATTATGCCAAAGTATCAAGGCCAGGTATCGATCGGCGTTCGGGATACTTCCATTAACTAGATCACATATGGCTGAGATACCGATCGGCGTTCGGGATATGTCCATAAGCAGGATAGCACCTATGGCGGGGTCCCACACACCGAACACCCTGCCCGAGCGGGCAATCAGCAAGTAGAAGCCGCATTTAATGCTGGATCATGACGGCAGCAAGTGGGGGCATGGGTGCATACATGGCAGAAGTGACAGCCTACCGGATTTGGCCACGTGTCCACCTCACCCATCCCTATTTTAGTATAAATACCCATGTTTAGATCATTGTAAAGGGTTAGCATTTCAATACTCAGAGCTTAGCAATAGATTTACATCTCCCATCCTTGTAATCTCATATTCATCTACCGTTCGGGTAGTTTCAGTGTAATTGCTTAATTACAGAATATAAATAAGTTCTTGAGTTGGATATTATTTTACTATTTTATATTTTATACACATTTTCAACCCTACCCAATATCCCTACAATATCCAAGGCTTGTGTTGGGCTTTCGGATCTTCGGGAACAAACCTCAACATTGGCGCCGTCTGTGGGAAACCACACTAAAAGTCCAGACAAAGCCGGGATCTAAGCACCATTTTTTCTTGAAAATGGCTAGACTTACTACCGCAACACCGAGTTCTACATCCAGAGGCCGAGGAGGCAATAGATCCTCTGAGGGGTGGTCCAGGCAAGGACACGCCAGTGGCAGTGCCACTCGGGAGTTCGAGCAAATCATCCCCCGGGATGTAAGGATGAACCCTCAGTTGATGAGGGAGATGGCGGAGGCCATGCAACGCATGGCGGACGAACAGGAACAGGGCTACACCGATGAAACTCATGAGCCACCATCCCCGTTGCGTCCCATGCCATCTTTCGACGAAGAGGAGGACATTGAGACCACGATGGCCTCAGTTCATTCCGAGGAACACCGCAGAAACCACTGGAGGGCCCATACCCCCAGACGTGAAGCACCGGCCAGCCGAACCCCGTCCGCCCCTCGAAACGGATATAGGGAACCTACCCCCATGGTAGATCCCGTTGGACAACACTTCCTGTATATCCAGAGGGATGGGGAACGCTTCATCCGAAGAAGAGCTAACACGACGGCCCCTCCCCAAAACAGAATACCGGAATATGTGGATGCTAGGATACCACACACTCCCCGAACGGCCCAAGACGACGAAATGGCCGAAATGAGGAGACAAATGACTGAGCTCAGAGAGCAGGTCAATCGGACGCCCCAACAAACCCCGCCAGCACGGGTTGGGATCACCTCTCCCTTTACTAGGGAAATCATGAACGCCGAAATCTTGAAGGACTGCCGTCCCTCGACCGGCTTAGCATACGATGGGGTGGGAGATCCCCACGTACGCCTGAGGAGTTATCAGGGTGGCCTCATGCTATTGGGGGCCACCGACGCGGCAATATGCAGGCTGTTCTTCAGTACCCTTCGGGGACCAGCCCAGGAGTGGTTCGGAACATTACAACCCGGGTCGATCGGGAGCTTTGCGGAGCTATCCACCTTATTCTTAGCTCAGTTCGCCTCCAGCACAACCCCGAAATTACATTTCGGGTATCTAACCAGTGTGAGGCAAGGGCCTAGAGAATCAATCTCCGGATTCCTCACCAGGTGGAGGACCGAAACCCTGAAGGTGACCGGCATGACAGATGAGACTGCCATCCTTCTTTTCACCGATGCCCTTCAGACGGGAGATTTATACAGGGAGCTGAAGAGGAATCCGGGGACCAGCTACCCAGACATCCTGGAAAGGGCCAGGAACTATGCGGCCCTGGAAGAAGAGATCAGGATAAGGGACCGAACGGCCCCGCAACCTCCCACTTCAAGACTGGCAGAGCGTCTGGGACCCACACCAGCGGCTGCAGCACCTCATCGAAGGACTACGCGCTTCACCCCCCTGGTCATGTCTATAGCCGGTGTTTTCCATTTGGAACACAACGCCATTCCTCCCCCTACTGACACAAGGCCCGTGATGGGACCTACCCCAAGCTCCTACTGCAGATACCACCAGCGGAATGGGCACCTCACGAAGGATTGCCACGCCCTACATATGGCGATTGAGGACCTGATCCAAAAGGGCTACCTGAGGAAGTATGTCAGCACCGACCTGAACAGCCCTTCCCCCAACCAGCGCCCTCCCCGATCCAATAGCTGGAAGCGGGATGCCCAGCGGGATGCAGAACCCAATAATGATTCATACCTTCCCCCTATACAGGAGGCTGAGGGGTCTGGGAATCCGGGAAAAAAGCCACGATTGGAGGTGAAAGTCATCTTTGGTGGAGGAGAGACCGGGGACACAGCCGTCGAACGTAAGAAATTTGAGCGCAGCCTCTATGTCGCCACTATAGCTGCACCTCCCACAAAGAAGGGCCGCTTGGAGCCAATTACGTTCGGGGTGGCTGATCTACCCAACTCACCGAGTCCGCACAGGGACGAGCTAGTGGTGAGTATGTGTATAGACAACGCCTTGATCCACCGAGTTCTGGTGGACACGGGAAGCAGTGTGAACGTGCTGTATTTACGCACGTTGGAGAAAATGAAGCTGAAGAAGGACCAGCTGACCAAGCTGAAGACACCGCTGGCTAGCTTCACCGGCAATGTAATAGAGGCAGAAGGCACCATCCAGCTTCTGGTAGAAATTGGCGATGAAATTCACCGAGCGGCAGTCCGGATGACGTTTGTGGTGGTGGATATTGCATGTGCCCACAACGCCATATTGGGCCGTCCGGGGCTAGAAGATCTGGAGGCAATTGCCTCTGTTCGACACTCATGCATCAAATTCCCAACTGACACCGGTGTAGGAGTGGCCCGAACAGATCCTGCCATAGCCCGAACGTGCTACCGGGAAGCTTTGAAACAAATGACCACCCGGGGACAGCGGGGTAAACAGCATTGAGGTACAGACCCGGCGTACGGAGTTCGAGGGACGCCCCGAGCCAGCCACCCTCCTAGAATACATCGAGCTTGATTCCCCTCCCGATCGTAAGCTTGCGATCGGGGCGGACCTTGAAGGGGGAATCAGGGAGGGGGTGATCGCTGTCTTAAAGAGATTCCAGGTCCTATTTGCCCGAGGACCCGAAGACATGCCGGGAATTGATCCGGCCCTCATCTGCCACAAGTTGGCCGTTCGGCCCGATGCCAGGCCAGTCCAACAAAAGAAAAGATATCAGGCGGGCCGAACGGCGAGAATTCACAAAGCAGGAGGTAGCCACCTTACTGAGAATCGGGCACATTAGACCAGTCATCCATGTCGAATGGTTGGCTAATGTGGTCCTTGCTCCAAAAGGATCTACTTGGAGAATGTGTGTGGACTACTCCGATCTGAACAAAGCCTGCCCCATGGACCCCTATCCGGTCCCACGAATAGACCTGCTGGTGGACGAAACAGCAGGATGTGAACTGCTGAGCTTTATGGATGCCTTCCGGGGTTATCACCAAGTCTTCATGCACCCAGATGATGCAGAAAAAACTGCGTTCGTCACCTCGGACGGCGTGTTCTGCTACATCGTCATGCCGTTCGGGTTGAAGAATGCCATGGCCACTTTTCAAAGAATGATCGGCATACTCTTCAAAGAGGTACTGGGGGTAACCATGGAGGCATATGTAGATGACATCCTAATCAAGAGCAGGAAGAAGGAGGATCATGTCCGGGATATGGAAAGGGTCTTCGGGATCATGCAGAAGGCCAACATGAGACTGAATCCAAAAAAGTGCGCCTTCGCAG